TTGCTAGCGTTCAATTAATCGGTCGAAAGGATCAGATTAATTCGGTGATAGCTTCCTACCGACATGAAAGAGAAAGTCCTTGCGGTGCGTTATGCAACGAAGAACGCATAACAACGAGGAGGAAGTCAGTTATCGTAGAGCATCGTGGTTACAAAATTCGAGCTACTTTTCGCGAACCGTTAAGGATAGAAAAAACTGGCGGATATCGGGATAAACGAATGTAGAATCTCGTCGAAGGTTAAATAATTTTCATGCTGATTGCACTGCGAAATTAGCAAACAAAAGTGTCGCGACAAATGGCAGCGTAATTCCCTTCGATGAAGATATACGAATTCCCCGACGCGTTAATGATCGGCGATCGGGGGGGAAAATAGGTGGCAACGATGCACGATAATGTCGATCGACACCGTCCAAGCATAACTCGAATCGAATCGGCTCGATCGAACAATTTTTTCGCCGTGGCTTCTAGTGGACGCGGCGTCGTTTCCTTCGATTATAAATATTGATCGCTCGACATTGTGTGCGCCGCGAACGTTCTTTTCCCGGTTCATTAATTGCGTTTTGATCAATTACAAGAATCTCGTTGGCGGTCAAAAAAAAAGCCGCGATTATAAAATTCTTCTGTTTCCACGTTTTCGTTCTTCATATCATCGACTACCGTGTAAGAGGCAATGATGTCGTTACAGTAAATAATATACATATACATGGAATCTTACGTAAATGCTTGAGAATTTTTTTTACCCCGATTCACCATATTGTTCAACGCGACGGTGTGTTATTATTAATGCTAATGTTGAACCGGTCCGCTCGAGGATCCAGCCCATAAGCAGAGTGCCTTCGAGTCTCGAGCTAATTTTGTCCAGTTTTTCTGCCGATTAACATGTTAATCGATTGCTATTCATTTGCATTTATCGACGCCCATTGTTACGAAACGATCGGGAATTGTTTATGATTATGTATCGTTGCCGGGGTGAACGGAACGAACGCGATTTCGACTGATGCTGAGGATCAGGATGAAAGCGTGTAACGAACGCTTTCTAAATCTCTCCCAAACGAAATCGAAATCTCGCCTGATGTCGCTGAACTGTTCACCGAAATCGCGAGCTTCGTTTAAATAATAAATTAGCAGCTAGAATTTCTCTATTGCGGCGGTAATGTGAATTCGCTAGCTCTCGACGTCTTCGTTCAGTGAGAACGACGGTTGCCGCTGCAAACGAACGATAAATATTATTCGAATAACGTGGATATTCGTTTCAGAATAGTTACTGTTTACAATGATCGATTCCGTCAAATAACTGAAAGAATTCTTCACAGAGACGACGGAAAGAGGCGACGGCATCGATCGTACCGGCCATTTTGTCGGGTCCAGGCAATTTTCACGTTCAGCGTGTAAATAATTATTGTAGCAAATTCGATTTATCGCCGTGGCTAGTCATTTAGAATACTGGACCATTTCTACAGCCGAAAGAGTCTTATCATACGAGACATTGTAAAATTGGCAAGAAAATGGCGTGTCCGTTGCCGAGGACCAAAACGTTTCGAGCATATACCGAATACAACATTGCTCAAAAGAGGAAGCTGGTGTTTGCACAGAGATTGCCAAATGGTAACTACGATGGGGCCATTGCAATCGTAGATAGTTATTTTAATACCGCGACCAAAATGGCGGACGCAGCGCCAGGCGTTTGCGTCGCGAACACTTGAAAATTTGTAATCGTTCTGTTGTTCGCGACGATCCGATGAAAAGCAACTCGAACTGGTGCCTCGATACCGTCGATACTGTCGATACCATAGCGATCGAATTAAGAAGGAAAAATATCGTTCGATCGAACGACTCGGATTACTTCGACAATCAATATTTTTTTGCTCCGCTGGGCATCTGTCGATCACAGGTTCGATTGCTTATTACGCGAGAATCGAACATAATTAATCGATCGTAATTCGAGATTTCGTTGGATGGATCCGACGAAATCGGTCCAACGGCAACCGTTGAAGAGGATCCTTTATCCCTTTCGAACGGTGTTCATGCGGTAAATTAATATCGTTGCAGATAATTGAGGTACGGGTGATGTAACGATCTGTTACCGATCTGTGTTATATTACATATTAGATAATAATCACGGTCACTGCGAAGATCTCTCGTGCTGCTCCGATAATGTTAAACACAATAAATATGTGCCAGCTGAATCTCGCCCGCGTCTCGGGAACTTCTCGTAATCGGCAGACGTAACAGGAACGCTATGCAATCACGGTAATGCTTTAAAGAATTAATTTCATCCATTAGCCTCGGAAAATGCATTTCATCCACCGAAGAATCCGACGGTTTGAAATATAAATGTGCTCGGTTCTAGCTGAACAAAAGTTGACTATTCTGCTAGACTGCTGCTATTTATCAGGCCCTCTTGGGAATTCTTTTTATAAACACATCGTTACTCTGTTTCGTACGAGTTTTTGCAGAAATATCGTTATTAATAAATACAGCTAAATATAGCTATTATCTGGAGTGTATAATCGATGTTTTTTAAGCCAAAATACTTAACATTATGTCGGCCGCAGTTGCTTGAATAAGATCTAGAAATATGTCGCACAGGTTGCAGCGATTCAACGATTCCAGCGAATCTGATGATTTTGTACAATTAATAGCGTTTTAATTCTGTTGATCGTGTATCGGTGTATTGCGTCGTACAAAAGAGAGCGTCTTAGACGCTTCGACCAGTGGCGTATCGATATCATTGTCGGATAAGAACTCGCTTCCGCTTTACGTGTTTTAACGTAATTGAGAGTTTGACAGACTAATTTGTCTTGTGGCTGACCGTGAGACATCGTTCGCGATTACTCGCCGCATATAATATTTACCTGGTTCCGAGCATTGTCAATCTCCTGTGTGAACAAAACATTTTATCTATTTCTTTATTGATGAACTCGGGACTCATAATCGAGAACGCCAACTGAAATGATACAAGGTACAATATCGCGTACACCATTAATCTTTAACTTAAACAATATATTCGATTGGATTATTTAGCATTTACTTTGAAACATCGACATACCTACATTTTTATAATTAGACTGCGAATTTTATGCATTTGCGACAAATATGAATAGGTCAAATACAGAAATGAAAAGACATTTGAAACATTTAAACATATTATTTTCAACTTATTACGATCGTTAAAAGGAAGGCGATCTAATTTCTGTTTCTTACAATTAACTCGGATAATTTTTATTTTCGAAAAAGCGTGTCTTTGTAATAGAATGACAGTATGAACGTAACATTCTTTTACAACAATAAATTCTTATCTAGATTGCGGATTCATATGATGCAAAATAAAGGGTATTAATAAATGGAACAAATTGATCATTTCTGTCACAAACGCATAAGATTCCCAGCACATTCGGAACGGTGTGCTCGATTTTCCTCGGGTTTCGTCGTATTCCCAAAATTAGGCGATATCGAAGCTGGCATCTCGCCGTCGCGACATCGTCGTAACATCGTTGATACCGTCGTTTCTTGCGGGACGCGGTGCGAAAAACCGTGTAGAATCGGCACGACAGTCAGGATTCGCCATGCACGATTATTCTAGCGGCGAGTTGATGACACAGACCAGCGTGTAGTAGAAGTTGGCAACGCAACTCATAGTTAGTGGTCATTGCCAAGGTTGGTTCTCGGGGTCTTGCATAATACCCCGGTGACCACTCGCAGAGGATTTTGCACGTGCGAGCGTGCGAGTGATTTCTGCGCGTTGTCGGCACGAACGAGTTCCTCGCGCGAATTGATCTTCAATTATGACACTGTTCGTCACTCTTCAATTTTACCTCCGTCTTCTTTCCTCTGTTGTCATCTGCCTTCCGCCGCGGCTGTGTCAATTACCTGCCAGTCACGTGACAGTGGCAGAGATTGTCTATCGTTCTGCAATTCAGGTGCTCGCTACTTGTCAGCCACGACCTGACTCAATCGGAGTCGATCTTCCCTCGCTACGTAGACCAAGGAAGGATCGAGAAGGATATTTAGACACAGAAAAGCGGAAGGCACCTTCTTCTTTGCGTTTCCATATTCCTCTGGCGGGTGTGATAAAATACTCTGCTACGTACCATAATGCCAAATGAATGCAGAAATTGTTTAGAAATTTTCCAGGAGATTAATATCGATGCAGCCAATTGGTAGATCTACATGATCTTTATTAGTGTTCGTAATTGGGCTGCGAATCTTTATGCGAAATCGGAGTTTTCCTGCTTCGATTGTAAGACAATGAATTATGGGATGAGACAAATGAATTAAATTGAAACTATTTTTATTTAAACATTAGATTTTAAAAGAAACGGATGAGTATCGGAAGATATCGTTAGGAAAAAAGATTCTTTTAATTATTAAACAGCTAGAGATAATAAATTTATTAATGAAAGAAATTCGATTTAATAAACCACCAATCGAATTGTGCAATTAAAATTCATTCTCGTTGGTACTTTTTATAAATTTAGATAATAGTGTAGCCTTGCGAGCGCTCGATAGCTTCCTTGCAAAATAAATTGTTACAAACATTATAGAATTAGAAATAATCGAAATTATCGATCGTCTTGATCACGGCGATTAACTTTCATCGAAGTCAGTGGTGGGGGTAACTTTCGGTTATCCGTACGGCTCAGCGCTATTGTTCAGTCAGTTGCAGCGCGATCGCTGGAGACAGCAATCGGGTTTCAGGGGGTCCTCTTTCAGAAGTGGTCTGACGTTTGAATTCAGTTGCTATTACTTTCCCTTCTCGAGTAATTAAATTTGTTCACATTCATGTGTATTCAATTCTCGATCATAGCTTGTCATAATTTGAACTGCCATCGAAACAGATTCATTTTGAAGAATGATTTGAAACTAATAACACGCACTTGTTAGTCAGCATTTTTAAGTTCTTTATTTTTAGGTTAATATTACGGATGTAAGACAAAAATTATTATATATGTATATTATCATGTATATTATATATTATGTATTTTTGTCGGTATTTCAGGACATGCGACACGGAACCCCATATGGTATCCAGTCCTCGTCTCTACCTCTCTAAAAATAGTGTTGATAAATTATCGATCTACAAACAGTGATGTTACAGTATTACCTACCATAACGATCGAGTAAAACACGACGGGTTCATTCTCTTTATCTGTTAAATGGCGCCACCATTCACTTTCTGCACCCAATTTGTTGATAATTAGTTACTGTACAATCTTCCGTGCGTTTCACGATACCTAATTGTTCCAAATATTACAATGTAAATAAAAAATGAAGGAAACAAAGGAAAACTTGTTTGATTTGTAGAAGAAAAAGAATTATGCTAATCCGAAGTATTTATAGTACTGTGGTTCATATCACGCGCGGCACGGTGGTGGGGAGACAGTGTGTCTCCTGTCCTATCCTCTGTCCTGTCCTGTTCTGGGAGACAATTAAGACAATCAAAGTATCAGAGACAATTTTGGACACACCGCTTTCCGCTGCTAAGAAGTTGACAAACAGACTTGTATTTGTTTAATATTTAATAAGTTGTCTTACGGAAAATTAAAAACAATATGTCTGTGAGAATAGCGGAGCTTTTTAATTCGTTTCAGGATTACTTAAACAGTGAAGAAGAATTGCGCGAGGTGAGTACTAATGATTTGTTATGATTCATCCTTCTCGAATGTCAAAGTACCAAAATATTGTTAAACAATTTTCATACAGATTTTGTACAAGGTACAAACTTAGTACGAACATTTGCAGCATCGATACTTTTCTTTACGAATTGTTAAACGATGAGTGGTCAAGTATTTTCTGTCAAATATCTTCGAAACGTGTGTATATTTTAGGTTAGAATATTTAAATTCCAAAGTTAACAGTTGTGCTCGTAATTAGTTGAAGTGATCTTTATGTACGAAATCATTTGAAGTTAATTTTCTGTTGCCAAAGGAAATCCGTGGCAGTGTGAAACGTCTTGAAAAGTCATCCACGGAAATACTGATGATTTTACAGAACATTCATAATGATGATAATTTTGAGGAAAACATAAGTATGGACATTGCATTGGATATAATCAATTGCATTGTTCTAATGATTATTATGTATTTAATTTTCTCCCTAGTTGTATCTCGATATTGCGTATCAGCAAGAGAAATATTTGAAGATGTGCGTAAAGATTATGCAAAGCTTGCGAAAGTTGTACCAAAGGACCAGTATTACAGATTTCATGACCAATGGCGTTTCGTGACACAAAAACTGTGTTTCTTAGCCTCTTTAGTAATTTATTTAGAAATTAAGGTTTTGGTTACCAAAGAAGCTGTTGCAGAGATGTTGGGAAGTATGTGATTACAAATTATAATTACTTCCCTTTGAATTTCTTTATGCTAAAATTATATTGCGTGTACAGTTAAAAATAGCAAAGAAGATGGTTTCCACTTGGATTTAGAAAATTTCTTAATGGGCTTGCTACAGTTGGCTACAGAATTGGTATGTATAATTTACAATTAATAATTAATAACTTTTATTTCATGTATTTTCTTTTAGAGTCGGTTTGCAGTAAATAGTGTCACAAATGGTGATTACAATAGACCCATAGAAATAGCAAGATTCGTAAACGAATTAAATGCTGGCTTTAGACTGTTAAATTTGAAAAACGATGTCCTGAGAAAACGTTTTGATAGTTTAAAATACTCTGTTAGAAAAGTAGAGGAAGTTGTTTATGACCTCAGTATAAGAGGTTTAAAACCAGATCCTAATCCAGTCAGCCAAGAAACAGAGTAATTATTATATAAGTATAGTTTATGGCACTAACAATATCTATATATTATATATAAAATTATATATAATAATTTATAAAAATTATCATTTTCATATTAAGCTTTATAAATTGTGAAAATGTTCGTTCTTGTTATTTCATATTTTTGTTTCACTATTTGAAATAACTAATAACCTACATGGAAATTTACTTCGTTTAACAAGTTTTTATCATCGATGAATTTCTGGTAATTCTTAGTAAAAAATTTTGCAACATCCTGAGGGCGAGTTACACCAGAAATGTGTGGTGAGATAGTGACCTGAATGGAAATGTAAATTGAAATTATTTAAGTTGGTTTAATAATATATTTTATATTGTATCTAAAACATAGAAGATTTACTTGTGGTAATGTCCATAATTTACTATCTTTTGGCAGTGGTTCTTTTTGAAAAACGTCCAGTATTGCTCCTGAGATCCACCGCTGCTGAATAGCGTTCACTAAGTCAGCTTCTTTAATAATTCCGCCTCGACCTATGTTGATGAAAACTGTACCACGATCTTTGCAATTTTGTAACATATCCCCATTTAATAGACCCAATGTGTTGGGAGTGGATGGCAGAACATTAACAATGTAGTCACATTGTTTTAACATTTCAGGTAAAGATTCAATTGTTCTATGTTCATCTAAATAATCTAACTTTTCTTTAAGTTGCGTTCTCGTTATGCCCCAAACAGTGGCTCCAAAAACTTTCAATTTCTCTGCAACTGAGTAAACAAAAATCAATTAAAAGATTGTTCGAAAGATAAACTCAAATTAATATTTCTATAACTACTGTAAGGATGTTACAGTATTACTCACTCGATTTTCCAATATTTCCCAAGCCTAAAACGCCCACAGAGAGATCGTGGATCAATCTATGGTTTGAAATTTTGTCATCTCTTCCCCAATGACCATTTCTCTGATTTTCATACTGCTGCTTCTGATTACGTTCGAAATTGAAAATGTGAGCTACCACATACTCGGCCATAGCCAAACCAAAGGCTTCGTCAGAGAAACGGGTAACGGCATAATTAACGTTTTTATCTTTCAAATTTGGAATTAATGACTCAACACCTGCCCATGTAGTTTGAACCCATTTCAAAGATTGCAATTTATCCAGATATGGTAGAAATAGATCACAATCTGTCAACAGTATGTCCGCGCGCTTCAAGTTCGATAATGTATCATCTTTATCTGCAATGACAGAAAAGCAAGGAAAAATACGTTGTCGAATGTAATAGGAAAAAAGTGGCAGTATATAACAAATTAAAAAGCAAAGATAAAAGAGTCGAGTTGTCGAAACAGTTCGCTGCGAAAAGTCTCGTAAAATTAGGCCGTGATTCATTCGGGGAGTACCTATTTGAAATATGCGCCAAATATTTGAATGGGGTGGGTTTTCCGCCAAGCTGTACATGCGAAATGCGCAAATTCAGTGTACAAGAGATCGTAGTGTTAGTGCGTTTCAACACGTGCTTGCTGCGAAAGCTCTCGTGAGCCGATGGAATTCGCGATCTACGGGCATGAGAGAAAGTGCATGTCAAAAATAATACCTGGCGTAACATCAAATATCGTTAAGTTTGGAAGTTGCATGCGAAGATGGTAAGATAACCTAGGTATCACGGATAGAATTGCAATGGTATGCGCCATGTCGACACGCGGGAATATGATCTAGCTTCCACACGAAAGATTATCACAGTCAAATATAAGATCCTACAATCGTTCCGTTGTTCTCGTTTACTTTGAATGTTCTGCAATTAATAAACTTGAATTGCACCGTGTTGATGCGTTACACCGATACATCTAACCTAAATTTTTAGTTCAGGACAAAAAGAGTTCAAACATTCGTTTCCTTGATTAACACCTTTCTCACACTTTACTGTTTCATTTACTGTTTGTGTTTCTCTTACAGTTATCCGTACTTTGATCGTTTATTTACACCTTATTGTTATTGTTTTTATATGAAAAATATAGTCTCACTTCAATACATAAAAACGTGATCAGAAGAACTTAAACTGCAACTTATAGTATACATTGTAAAGTTTATATCTTTCTCGTTAATCTGTTGCTCTGCTTTAAAGTTTACTCAATCGGGTTTTATTCTAAAGCTTTAAATGGTTGAATTGAAAGGAATAACATTGAATTATATTAGTTTGATTCAGATTTTTATTCGTATAAATGGGTTGAAAATTCAAAGTGTTCGCGAGATATGACGCGTGCGCAAAGTACGTATACCATGAAACGAATATTTTACGACAATAACATTAACGAGTTAAACATTAGTTTTCTACAACACTTAAATCTTTTTTCAGAGTTTCTATAAAACTAAGATAAATGACAGTCGAAATTATTACGTTTTTTTTTTTCAATTAACACTACCGGACTAAAAAGCATCAACTCAAACATCAGAATGTCTTCGTGTTAATTATTGTAGCGTACAAATATGTTTGAATTTCTTTCCGGATTAAAGATTTTGAGTTGGATCCGCTAAGATCGAACTGCAGCAGAAGTGTCGAAAGAAAGCAGATTGTTCAACCTAAATGGGATGTTCTAAATCGTTTTTCGCGTTTAATACCTAACCCTAACAGCATTGTTGCTATTTTGTTTAGTTAAGTCAGGATTAAATTTAGGAATTATCCTAAATATATTAAAAAATTCTTTAAATATTTGTGTGATGTTATAAAAAAATGTGTTACTACTTGGAACAATTTACAGAATCGTTCGGGACAACAAATATTTGTATAAGCTTAGTAAATGAAGGATATAATATTTAAAAAAATGATTCGAAAAAGTTTTTTATAGTAAATGTTATGATAGTGTGAACTAGGCTTTGATCCGAGTGAAAATGCCCTGTCCAATAGACGGTCGCGAGTCGACCGGTGGCGGCAGCTCGCCGATTCCCGCGCGGCGCACGTCGCATCGGAGAACTGCTCGAGCTGAACGTGTTAAATGGCTGTGCGTCGGCCATGATGGCTTTGAGCAGGGACCGTGTCACGCAAACATGTTTTCAAAGTGATATATCTCGTTTGGTGACTGAGTGACCGTGTTCCAGCGCGATGGCCGGAGAACGATGAGGCCCTGACCGCTCTCTGTGCCGGGTATTACGGGCGCAGGGCCCCCAGCCAGGCCCAGTCAGGTTCACGTTCCGCAAGCCCGAGGCCCGAGCCGACCCGACTGGCCTCACGGTTCGACACCAGCCAACTTGGTTGTCAACACGCGAGCCAGCCGCCTCAGGATGAGCAAGCTGTCGTTCAGGGCCCGCGCCCTGGACGCTTCCAAGCCCATGCCGATTTACATGGCCGAGGAACTGCCGGATCTGCCAGATTACTCGGCCATTAACCGTGCTGTGCCCCAAATGCCCAGCGGCATGGAAAAGGAGGAGGAATGTGTAAGTCGAACTGTTCAGACTTCTTCCAGCATGTTTTCCCTGTCCGCCATCTTACCCTCGGGCGCATCTTCGTAAACAACCGGCAGATGGCAGCCCGTTTACTATTATTATGAGAATAAATTTCTTAATTTCTAACGTTAAACGTAATTGTCAACTATTTTTTCACTGTGATTCTTGTTCCTCGAGCATTGGTACATCTGTATCAAAGATCATTGACAGCTGTCAACTCCTTGTTTCAAATAAATTACACAGTGAAAAATGATATTCAACGTTGCTGTTCGGTGCTTAGGAATCTGAAACTTCTCTGTTTTTCATATGTTTCTATGGTCTTTGTGGTATATTACTGTGCATAGTACTTTGTTTATCAAATACTTGTCCGATTTGAGTATTTGGTTTTGGGTAAACAATGATTGTTCATGTTTCTTTCTTGAAGTCGATTACTAACAATGGCAATACATTTTTGACGTAACAGAAATGTTGAAATATTCTATTAAACAAGTATTATAGTATTAGTTACTATATTTGACGCGTTTCTTATTCTTAACGCATGTTTAATGAAATGCAGATTGTTGAGTCATATGTTATAAGTAAATAATAATAGTATGTACTTAAGAAAGTTGCTTTAGATTGTAAATTATGAGTATTATTTGTCTATCTCTAAATATTTAATTTATATCATGTTTCACACCTGTTGTTTCCTCTTTGCAACAAAGTAACAATATAGGGAAAAGATATTTTATGAAGTGCAATCTTTAACATTATTTTAATTATCTATATAGGAACATCACTTGCAAAGAGCAATATGTACGGGTCTAATCATTCCTACTCCTGAAGTATCTGATTTGGCAGATGCGGAAGCTTATGATAAAATATATCCAGCTGATTATAAGCTACCTCGTCAACTTATACACATGCAACGTATGCAAATAGACTACAGAAAATAATAAAATATAGTATTCAATAATATATTGTAAGCTACTAATTTAATAATTGCATGTATCTTGGTTTTTAGCATTTGCAATGGAACAAGATATTCCGGATTATGATATGGATTCGGAAGATGAAAAATGGGTTGCAGTACAAAGCCGTAAAATGGACTTAACTCCTCTTCAATTTGAAGAAATGATGGACCGGTTGGAGAAAAGTTCTGGGCAAACTGTTGTCACTCTTAATGAAGCTAAAGCGCTTCTGAAAGAAGATGATGATTTAATTATTGCTGTTTTTGATTACTGGCTGAATAAACGTCTTAAGACAGTAAGCATGTAGCATTACATTTTGTAGATATTGTTGTTTACAGTTTTCACATCCTGTTTACATTCTTTTATCTGTTACAGCAACACCCACTTCTATTAACAGTGAAAACAGAGCATCGTTTTGGTTCGGCTGCAAATAATCCTTATTTAGCGTTTAGACGTAGAACTGAAAAAATGCAAACACGTAAAAATCGTAAGAACGACGAAACTAGTTATGAAAAAATGCTGAAACTCCGTAGGGATCTTAGTAGGGCAGTAACTCTTCTCGAAATGGTAAAACGAAGAGAAAAGACCAAACGGGAACACTTACATCTTACAATCGAAGTCTATGAGAAAAGGTTTGAAATAAATATATTTTGTTCGTTATAATCTTCTTCTCTTTTATGAAAATGTATTTTGAATCTCGTGTAACCAAAAAATCTGTTCAGATACCAAGCACAAGACTTTAATGGACAAATATTGGCGGAAGTATCAGCGTTGAAGACTCCGAGGCCAGCTTTTGCTCCACTGTTTACAAATCAGTTTGGTGTTCATCAAAACTGGGCAAACAAAGTTTGTAGTAAAGTGAGTACTACGTAGTTTTAGAAAAGATAATCAAGGATACATTATAATGTGCCTTTTCTTCCACAATTTCAATTTCATGTCGTTTAAAAATCACGGACACGGGCCCGGACGTAATTAAAAATCTAGGTCCGTTCGGATCGCCCCCGGATATCTAATAATCTTAGTATTATGTTTTCGTTTGTAAAATATTACATTCACTTAACATTAATGCTTATATTGTCTGGAGCAGGATGAAGTGGTACCAAGAAAAGAAAAAAGACAGTACAAGAAACGAAAACATAAAACTGACAACAGAGGCGGAAGTTTGGATGACAATGGTGTACGTGGTGGAACAGGTAGCGGAGGTGGTCGAGGAAGTCGACCTGGTGTTCTCGGAAGCGGGCTGGACCTGCTACTGAGCTCAGATGAAGATAGTCCGCTTCCTTCTCATTCACATTCTCAACCCTCGGTTCCCTCCGATCGTGATGACGAAGACACCGTTGACGAGGGTCAATTCGCTTTTCGACGGAATAGAAATAGCACTTATTTACCAGTGAGTGACATTAATTTCTGGTTTTATAATGATCCTATCAAGACTCTTTACGTTATTGCAAGAATCTCTCGCACATTACTACGCCATAGATGTTGGATAAAGTTCTTTTACTTTCAAGGTTTTAAATATAGAGCTTTTGCTTTTGCAGCCTGTATTAGGTGGGTTTGGAAATTGGCCTTGGTGTGATAAAAACGAAGGGGGTATGGCCGATAAAAAATATAGGTTTTCACTGACCAGTATCAGCAAACCAGTACCAAGGTGTATCGGTTTCGCACGACGACGAATTGGTCGGGGTGGCAGGTACGAATCTGTTTAAAAGTTCTCATTTGCATGAAAATGCAACGTTTCCTGTAATCACATATGGTTTTACACGCTTATAGAGTAATATTGGACCGTTGTTCAACCGATATGGATGATTTGTGGTCTTCGTTAGACTTCACGATACATCAACCAAAGCGAGAACAAGTGGAACCCGATACAACCGCTGCATCCACAACGACAGTCAAAAAAGAGTGGTATGTTCAATGACAACGGATCTGGACTTTGAACGATCATTAATTGTATTGCTTGTACCACAGGTTACACTTCCGACCAAAGACTCCACCCGTGTCAGTGCATAGTCCAAGCGAAGAAAGTAGTGATACGGACTCGGATGTAGAGCTAACGTTGTCGAAAACGAAACCGCTTCCTTACCCGTTCCCACCGGAAGCGACGTCCATCTGCGTGGAAGTTGAACCTGAGCGTGCAGGAGACGAGCCACCTTTCACGTCTGAGTTCAACATCGCAGATTACTTCTCGGTGGATGCTCTATCGGACTTCGATCTTGCCATAGCGAACATCACCGGTAGTGCGTGTGTTAGTGGACTGTCGGACAATAACTCTAGCGATTCGCGGACAGATGAGCTGGGCAGTTCGCATTTCGTTGTGACTCCGCTACCTAGCAATCATTTTGCACAGCCTGCAACGCAGCAGGGTCGGCCTCAGTGCAGTGGTAGTGGTCCTAGTGTTGTAAATACTTCTACGAGTTGTTCTACGGTCCCGTCGTCTTTCTCGTGTACGACCAACCAGCCAGCAACGTCCAGTATAGTGTCCACGCAATGCGCCAGCACTGCTACCGAGACGCAGTCGAATCACCAAACTAAGCAACACAGACAATTGCCAAACAATAGCAGTACTGTCTCCATTCTATCGAAGTCTTTGACTAGTCCGACAAATAATAGGAATGGCGGCAACTGTGGCAGTGGTAGTGCTGGAGTCAGAGTGTTCAGTGCGAGTACCACGAGTAGTGGAACGATAACAAACTTTGGTAACGGTCATCAAAATGGACCGTTGCCCCATATAAATAACTCTAACAACCTTTCAAATAGCACCCACATGGTGAATAATCAATCGACGATAGTTCTGCCGCAAAAACATCCGCCGTCCAATCTGCTACCTGGCTTGATCGCGCAGAGCAAATTGGCGAGTCTCGCGAGGCAGCAACAACAAACGCAAAGTCAGGCGCAACAAATCCCAACGTCCGGGGAAATTACGCTTAATAGTAATAGGTGAGTTTTTACATACTTTTTATTCGTATTGACCAGATTGCGGATTTTATGCATTTATTACGAATAAATAGATAACGCATAACAGCGGAAATGTTTGAAATAAAACTAAGAATACAGAATTATTAAGAAAAGAAATGAATCTTTCCTCTTATGCAAATGATAAACAAATTTTTATTTTGCAGGAAAATCCGCAGTCTTATTATGGGAAGCATAAGATCAATGAAAATTGTCGTACAGTCGGAAAAAGGATGATTTTATATGAAAACAATAAGCCAGGAACATAGAATAAAATGTTTTCAAGTAAGAGAATAGGAAAGTATTAAAAGTAATAAGGTTACAAGTAATAAATAATATAGAATCATCCATTTTCAGCTTGTACCATAGTTTTCAATATAAAATTTAAGGAGAGATTCTGATTTGAAGTTATAAAAATTGACAAAATTTCTTGACCCATTGTTGTACAGGAATAATACTAAGAAAGTATGAAATAATATATGACATCATTTGAAAGAACAAGACTCTTCTTTAATATAGTTTGTTAGCAAAAGTTCCGTGTTTGATTGTAGTGAAAGTTTGGATATGGAGGTGGATGGAGTGGAAACTGCAGCTTGTGACGGTAAGCCGCAGCAGCAGCAGCTTGTACGGGCAAACAAAACAAATTCATTAGCAATGGAAGTGACATGATGCCTGCTATCGGCACCCCTGTTGCCGCCAATACCGTCACTGGGGGCTTCGCTAACTTTACCTTGCCTATGTCTGCCTGATTTCGGGTTTGGACATGTACTATGGGCTCGTTAAATATGAAATGCGGTACGGCTAGACTCAATTACAGAAATGCTCTGATCAGTTGCCTGTTGTGGCGAGTTAAAGAGAGGATAGTATCGGTTCCGTTACAAGTACCAAGTTGATTTTTCAATAGAAAGCAAAAAGTAAGAGGGTCGTGCTCTAATTCAATTTTCTAAGTCAATCGTTTCCTTGCTCATTGAACAACCGCAATTACTCAATGCAAACGCAGTATTTTATTGAAATGATTACAAAAGAACGGAAAGGACAATTTATTTTTTCAAACACTCGACGTCAATAGTATTCCTGCCTAATTCGAGTTTTATATTCTTTTTCATGTTTCTCGTTTGCGGAAATTAACTCGTGCAGGAACTACAATAATATTGAAACTTTTATGTTCGACAAATCAATAGCCTGATTCTTAGACACCGAACTATGAGCAGAGCTTCTTTTGTCATCCTTTTTTATTCGTATATGCAAGTAGTACTACTAAAACATCTGTGATGCAATTATTGCAATCGTACCACAAGCTTTCTCAGACACAGCATTAACTACGTTATTATTGTGAGAACATTGCACAGAGATTTGCGCTCGACACATGTCTCCTTTCTCCAGATATTCAAAAAAATTTCATACAATCTATACGGAAGATCTGATAAATAAATAATAACGAACACGATACCGTTTGAGTTTTTGTAAAAGTTAATTTTAAACGATATTCTTCTTTGCAATATGAAAATCTGCGTTTTTGAAAGTGATGCTTTTATGTGTGCGTTTATGATTGTAAATTTTATTTAAAGAAAGAAACGATGCACGTCAGAAATAGCATAGTTACTTTCCACGAGAACTGTGTACAGCAAATCTTTTATAGATACCTTTAACAATTACATTTATACATTGCTCATTTCAGAGAACGCAGAATAGAGTAATTCAACTTATCGTGAATTCGTATAATTATTTCAGTACTGTACATAGATTCGGTTTAATAATAACGATAAGATATTATTCAGTTTATTTCTTTACGAGGTAGTAATACGTTGAAGGCTTCCAGGCTGTGAAATAATGAAACTATTGTTAACAATAATTATCTTTGAATTAGCATTAAAGTTACTCGATTAATAACAGAATTGTTTGAATTAATTGTTTCATTGATCACTGATCCATGCATTTCTGTGCTATTCAACATATGTATCGAATCATCCCTCGTGTATGCGACGCCTAGCATATCAAATTCGAGATCCTAATGTTGCGTTTGGGAAGCTTGTACCATGAAAATTCGAGTATCACGAGTGATACTACGTTAGGATTTGTAACATTCACAAGGAATGCGGAAGAATTCCGATGTCTTTCACTTTAGTAATTGCGAGCTATGGAAGTCAAGATAAATAACCAATGGATTTATTTTCCATACAATATATGGAGGAACCATCATTTAACTGATTGGCTTTGAAGCAGACTCTTAACATTCACCAAGAAATTCGTTCGCTGCAGTATATTGTTAGTTGCCTCTTTCTACTTCTGTAGAAAGGATTTTAAAACATTTTTATTGTTACCAATACATTACAAAAGAAAAAGAAAACCATTTGACAAATTGTATAAACGTTAGAACAATAGCCGAGAATTGCGTTTAAGCTTCAGAGTTATGAGTATGCTATTTGGGAAGATAGAAGAATATTTGCCATTGAAAAAAAGAAATTTGGGAAAGATTAAGACCCGTTCTGTTGCTGACGCATCCTATGATTTACCGTAGCCGAATAGATTTTTACAGTCTACTGGTACAGCTATATGGAAACTGAGATTAAGGTGTTTCGACACTGACACACACGTACATAGTCCATACGCTTCGCTAAATAATTTTCTGTCGATGAAATTTTGATTACCTCTAGAAGAGACGAGACCGACATGCGAATAGTTACTGAAGCAGCGCGGCGTTTTTGCGCGCGGCGCGTTTATTCTCTTCCTCTTAGTCTTTCTACATAATGTATATTGTCTCCCTTTCCAACGTGAAATGATCGAGAACAAGTGTGCAACGTCGAGGAAAAAAGCGTTAACAAGCGTGCAGAGACTACGTTTACATGGAAATCGACAATATCCAGCATACACTTTTCATTCGAGATTCAAACAAAGTATCAGAAAAATGCGGAGAAAACAGTTTCTTCTTTAGCACAATCATTTCATATTTTCGTGTGACAGAATCGACACGTACAAGTTTTGAGACACAGATAAAAGGAACTGACTAAATTCAATTTCTATCACACGATTTGTATTGTCATTTTTTAAAAAGAGAGGCATCATTCGTTCCTCATGACATTACATTTTGAAAATCTGTAGGCACTGATCGTGATTCGATATCTTTACTGTTCGGACGCAAAGGTTTCTAATTTAATTCACATTGCAAACTGCCGTGGCAGAGTTTTGTCGGATAGTGGTTGATTTTCCGAACTTGGGGTACAGAGGGAAAAGAAGAGAGAGAGAGAGAGATTTAGTTCAAGCATGCAATAAGAATGTTATTTCGCGAGCCGTACGCGAGATTAAGATAGCAAGCAAGAAAGAAGGAAAGAAAAAGAGAGACAGAGAAATAACAAGAAGAAAATGAAAAGAACGTAAAATGGTGCAAATGTTGCAAATTCTAGGGAGACTTCATGGAATCATAATAAGAAACAAACAAAAAAAGATATATTGTACATATAAAAATAATTACGCTTATTGTATCTCTTACTTTTAGGTAATTAACGGAAAATAAAAAAAAGTAACTGTAATTAATGTTGTTGTGGTAGGCGCACAGCGATGTGTAATGAAACAAAAAAAAATTTATGAATTCGGGACGATTTTAGAGGAGGAGTAATAAAGAAAATTTTATCCTGGATAGGACTTATTATTTTGTTAAGAACTTCACTCGCCTGTATATTATATGAAATTTTGTGAAATCTAATTTCTGCCACATTTGTACATACATACTTTAGATATCTGATTGTTTCTCTCGTTATTCTCAAATTCACTGTCGAGCGCGAAGACATTGTTTTGTTCTCGTCGTCGGATATTTCTCCGTTTTTTTTTGTAATTTTTCTCGCACACGCCCGTTTTTCACGTTGATTTTATTTCTGAATTCAGCATCGAGCAGAGAGACACACACATACACACACTCTTCCGCTACATATGATTTTGAGAAGGACGAGCGAAGGATTGCGCGGAAACCGAAAATTTCCAAGAATGTACTTGTAAAAACCATTTGTTTATTTTAGTTGGAACGCTTTAAACGAAATATAGTGGTACATGGATTTTTATATAAAATTTATTAATGTTAAAAATATTGACCCAATAGCCACTTTACAAAATAAAACAAAAAAAGTAAGAAAAAACGTGAGAGCCGGACAGAACGTCGGAAATATCTTCAACGGTTTGATCGCTCCAACCAAAGACTGAGTTCGCTTTACATTTTCTGATTTGGCAAACACGAAATTCCACTAACAGGGAGGCCGATTTTATTCATGCTTTACGAGAGAGAGAGAGAGAGAGAGAGAGAGAATGAGAAAAAAAAGAAATCCAAAAGATATACAATCTGTTACGAGTGAACGAATGGTAGTCAGATTATTATTACTTAGCAGTACTTCACAAAACATTTTATTATTTATGGAAATTTTAATAATTTATGTAGTTAGTCGAGGAGATTATGTGGAATGAACAAAAACAAACCATGGGATGCTTTTTAACAAGTGACTTCCACTTCAGAAGTGGAGAAGTTACTCAAAAATGATGGAAGAGATTAATTCAAATATGAGTCCTATTTAACTTAGTAAGACTCTACCATTTTCGTACATCAGTAATAATACTCGTAGCATTTAAATAGTAGATTTTATGCAGAGTATAATTTAGTTTTTTTCCATGAAAATTCAAATAATTGCTAGGAAATAAATTCAAATAGGACACATGTTTATATCGCAATCTTTTTGCATTGCTTTTGTGTCTCTTATCATTGCTGAAATGAGTTGTACTTGTTGAGATACATCTGATACACAAACGAACATGTAATTGTAATTCGGTCGAATTGGGTCGTGAGACTTCGTGTTTACCTAATTTGTTGCATTCGCGGATAAAAAAACAATAATTGTATCGTGTAAGTAGAAGTAAGCCGGATCAATGCAACTGTTTAGAGCGATCGAACGAGACCTATTATATCGTTTCTCGTGTGAAGAAAACTAGAAAATATACTTATTCAGAGGAAGAATGAGCTTACAGATATAATGTTTAAACGTGAAGCTCTTAAAAAAAGGTTCTGAGTGTTAAAAAAAAACTTTTACGATAATATCGACGAATGTCGACATGCGGTGTATCTATTATACGTGTATTTTATTCTGTGAATACGGTAGAACTTCTATGTCGCTGTGCGACATGAAGATTTAATTGGAAAAAAAGAAAAAAACGAGAAAGAAAGAAAAAAACGCTCCAACCAAAGCTCTGATTCGAATGAAAGTTTGGCGAGAGTATTTGAGTATTTTTCTCAAGATTGTATGATCGGAGAACGCAAGGGGAGGATATCAAATTCTATGTACGTAGAATGTTTGATCTAGACAACCCTTTAATTTGTTCTTCGATGCACACATCATCTATTCTCTCGTCCCCTGATAACACCTTTCGCTGAATGCATGTATCAAATTTAATTTGGTCTAAATAAAATATTGTCAGATGCAACTTGAATACGTGAATTATATTTATTGTTTACAAACTGTAGGAAGCTTGACAAACAAACTTCGCATTCCTAAATTTCGTTCGCGTCTCCGACCTGTGCTTGTGACTCTTTAGTGTGCACTGTTCTGTAATTAACAATAACAAGCCAGGAAGTTCTTTTCGTCGTCCATCAAATCTGTTGAGATGCGAACCGAAAACGTTCGCAGTGTCTTTACGTTACAGTATTAATAGAGAGGTAGAGATGTTATCAGGTAGATGAGTTACGTTTTCTACAAATTATGCCTAGAAATCTAAACTCAACTATTGTTTAGTATTAATATCCGTAATTAATGTGATTAACATTTGAATCTATTAGATAATGTAACTAACTGAATGTATATATGTCAATCTACGGGTTGCAATTTGACTCTTGAATGTATTCTAATTATGTAACTCTGACAAATTGGCAGAACTATTAACAATCCAATTGTTGTATATATATACACATACGTATATACATATACAAGGAAGGAAAGGATAGTTTGTCAGGGCAGAACTTACTATGCGATATACATATTCTCTGCGTACTTTATGTTACCAGATCAAGATACATCTTTGTCTGTTTTATTTGCCAATTTTACTTGTACTACATTGTACATGTTATGTGCTATATAGCAACAAAAAGTATACAGGTTTTTTTTTCGTGCAAAATGATATATCTGTCTTGAAAAAGGATCGTTTATAATTGCATTTAGAAAACCATACTGTTAAAAAGAAATATTCACGACGAACATAGACTGGACAAACAAAAAGAAAAGCAGATATTTCTGCTGAAAATAAATTCTGATTACATCGCGTAAAAAGAAAAATAATTTTTTTCAGGATATCCTACCTAGTAAAACGAAATATTTTTCTATTTAATATTAAGTAGCTAAAAGCTCGTGTTCGTCTAAATTATGATTTCTTTACATACATAAATGTATTTGCAAATGCATTCGACTTTTTTTCATTAATTTCGACAATTTTTATCTGTTCATCTGAAAGTTAGCGATAATCGGTGATTTTATTTTCAAATTCGTATATATTGTCATCTAAAAAGTTTCATCAATGTAATCGTTTTAATTTTCAGAACAGATATTATATACTGTAGAACATTTTAAATATTTTACTTTAAAACGTGTTATTTTACATTTCTAGGTTATGTTTATTTAACATATTTTGTTGAGCGACCGTAAATTTAGTAGATACATAGAATGACAATGGTGTTTCTTTCTCGGTACAATGTACTAAATCATTTTACAGCGCCTCCATGGTAAGATTGAGTACCTCCAGAATTATTGTAGGTTTCTATGAGTTGTTAAAGGTGGTTCAGACGTTTAGAGTTTAGTCGTAGCGACTAAATTTTTAGGCATGCAAAAGTCGGTGATAGTCAGCGAGTTTCCGTAATCAGTGGCTTATGTTATGTATGTTTAAAGTTCGATATGTATTTATTACAATGGGAGATGAGTTGAGTTTGAGTGTTCCAGTAAGAAAAGGGAGAATATTACGTGTGTTCTTTGCATAAATGAGATTTCTAAACATGCCGAGGTACTTTATGATCTTTTTTGGTTATTGAATAGAAAATAATGATACTAATATTTTACTATATAGAGAAAAAATGGTTAAGCAGAAACGTATAGATGAGTTCTTTAAATCGACAAATAGTAGCCGAAAACTGGACAATATTAAAAAGAATTCTGCATTAAGTGTCACTCCTCGCACCCCAAATGTAAGTTATATTATTCCTCTATTTTGTTTCCTTCGTTCTCTTATCTTTATAAGTAAATTATGTATTTTTTTTTTTAGAAAACGAAATTGAAAAGATTACAGCGTACAAAGCATGCAATTAAACATCTCAAATCCAGTCAGCTAAATTTAGATGATGACAAAGATGTCGAAATAATATCTCAAGAAAATAATACTTTGTGTTATGAAAAAGAGGGGGTAGATAAGTATATTTCATTGTCAGAAAGTAATATCAGCTATGATCCAACATCATTGTGTACAATTACATATGATAGTGCTGCTGAATTATCCCAAGAAGAGTTAGCATTTGAAAAATACAATAATGATGTATTACCTATAAATAAATTGAAAAAGGATATACCAAATGGAAATGATAGTGATAATGGAGTTCTTGAGAATACACCACTCAAGAAACAGCCAACATGTGACAAAAATATATCTCCAATAGCTAATTCTAATAGTTCACCTTCTACGTTTAAAAAATCAAAGTATTCTCCAAAAATGTCATCTAATATATCTCCAAACAAACATGTAGCTAGAAAATTATTTGATCAATTTGTAAATATTGATATTGTAAGGACTGTTATTGAACATATGAACCTAGTAAAGCAAGGTGCTATTGTACCAAATAATTTTAACATGGAAGAAATATATTTTAGTAATACATTTGAGTATCGTTATAGTCAGATAAATACTAAAGCTTCAGTAAAATATGAACTAAATAATGTGAATTTGCCTAGCGATCTTAATGCAAAAATTCTAATTGGTTCTATTCTCACAGTCTTGTCGAAACCTTATAATTGCAGTTACTTTGAAGAGAATGAATTGGATTTTATATATTGCATTCTCACCCTTCCTGAAAAAGCTCAAAAATTATTGGCCCGCATGATAAAAAGGATGAGAGGGTGGCACCGTAAAGATTCTATAAATTATCCAGATATATCCTCTAATTTGAAGGATGTCTTTGACCTTCTCGAATCACGATGTATTTGTACGTATGACTTAAAAGATGAAAGTTTAGCTGCTGTACTTGATCTATTACAAGTAAAAGAACTTCATCAACTTAGTCGAAGCATGAAAATAGATTGCAAAGGGAAAAAAGAAATCATTGTTGACAAATTGATTAAATTATCAAGAAAAAAGACTTTGTTTCCTGGAATGAAGAGTCCAAGTAGTGTTTTGTACGATTGTATTTTCAAAATATTGAATTGTGTACGTATAACAGACAGAACATGGAATATTATTGATATAATAATGACTTTGCTATTACCAAATGAGGATCCTCAAATGAGCATGTCAGATATATTCTTCAAGCTAGGTGATATTTATTTGGGAAAAGCAGTGTTTCCCAGTACACCAAAGGATCAATTTCCACTATTTTCGTCTAGACCACATTTATTAATGCAAGTTATCCATATTTTTTTCGTTTAGATTTCTATAAATTTTAATAATGTCAATTGACTTATATCTAATTTTGTTTATAGTTACGTAAATGTCAAGTCTGAATTGTCTACAATGTTGAACTTAATTGAAAAAGGAGACTGGGAACGGGTGCAAACATATGGAAACACAGCAATGGAGACATTACCAAACATACTAAAGACCGAATTGTTAAGGTTTGTTAAAATATATGATACATTTAAGTTTCAGTATTGCAATCATAAATTTTGTATCTTACAGACTAGAAAATTCTATACTTCCTATGCATGTGAGAAAATTTCTACCAGGATATGTATGGTTGAAAATACTTTCAAAAAGTATAGAAGCATTTAAAAGAAAAAAAGACACGGCGAAAGTCGTGGATATCTTAAATTTCTTGATAAAACAAAACTGTCATATGAACTCGTCTAAAGGAAAATGGTACTGCGAATTAGCTCTTGTTAAAATGCACCATGACAAAGATTTAGATTCTAGTGCATTAATAACAATTGAAGCTTTGGGTTGTGAATATTTATCGCAAGTAGACAAAGTAGACCTCTTGCAGAGAGCAGACAGGATTTTAAATAGAAAGACGGGTGTAACGTTACAAACAAAAACGAATATTAACAAAGTATTAAATACTCATTACCATGAAATGTGTACTTTTAAACCTGCATCTAATATTATTTCGGCTGTTGCAATGCCAAAGTAAGTCGATTTAATGTAATGCAGGGTATTGTATGAAATAGTGTACACAATTTTTCAATAACAAATTTTGTTTAACAAAAAGTAATCAATTTTAATAGAATATTTTATTATTTTAGAGCTCCACAAGGTGGTAAAAGTACTTGGCTCATAAAAAGTAGTGATCACGATAATAATTATGGAACAGTAGAAACGGTTGCTTTGTACCATTATATGGAACAGAACTTTCCCAACGGATTACACTGTGAAGGGAATTTACCAATTCTTTTATTCACGACTTTATTCTGGGAGGAATTGTATGAAGAAAACATTCCTGGAGCATTTGCGACTCCTTACGCAATTGCTCCTTCTGATTTATACACCAAAAATTTCTATGAAAATAGAAAACTTCGCATTGATATGAAGCTGCGCTTCCTGGATTCTTTTAATGCAGATCCAGCATCTTTCAGCAGTTGGATGGAACAGAGGTTTAAAACTTATAAACAATATCAGTCTTTAATGCCAAGAAATTTGCTGGAGCATGACATTTATATGAAAGTACGTACTTTTTTATATTATAACAATTTTTTGATATTATTAAGGTGTATCGAATAGATTTAATATCTTACGTTTTATGAAATTATTTGACAATTTGTATTGTATATTTGGAATGACTTGTCTAAGATTGCGCCATCTATGATTTATAGCGACAAAAATGAGAACTAAGTTTTCATTCATTCATACTGCAGCAGAGATTAAATGTGTTCTATGGCTCATTTGCAATTTTATTATCCTAGATTCTGCGTAAACAAAAAATCATTTTTGTTTCTAGGAAATTGTGTATTGTTTAGGAGTGCAAGGTGTTATAGGGATCTGTAGACGAATGATAGAAAACTTTAAGCTTTGGTCGGCTGGATTTCCTGATTTAATTGTATGGAATTATGATACGAGACAGGTGAATATTTACATTATAAAATAACCTTGACATAACCTAATAGATATGATTTATTTGTTATAGCATAAAATTGTAGAGGTAAAAGGTCCTAAAGACATCCTTTCGACAAAGCAACTACTATGGTTGAAGTATTTGAATGAAATTGGGCTTAATACCGAAGTATGCCATGTTCAAGGTATGAAAATATTGCATGATAATAACAAATTCAAGATTCTAGAGCTTCCGCCACTGTAACTGTGCAAGGGCCCTCGAAATGATACCTGTAATGTAACATACAAATATAGTTATTTTTTGTTGCAGATAAAAAAATGTAGAGCCATTTGAGGACTGTGAATAGATTATTGCATGCATATTTATATTTACTTTCAAGAGATAAGTTTCGAATGTGACAATATTTATATTTTTAACATAGGACATTAAAAAATTTTTTTGTTATAAAACCTTTCAAATAACTAACTTACGCAAAGTTTCTCGTGGCGGGAGTTATCTCCAAATTAAATTCAGCAACTGGTACACCGCGTTTTGCTGCTTGCGGTGCAAACATCGCTGCAGGATATACAATTGAAGATGTACCAATAATTAAGCAAGCGTCACAATTTTCCACTGCATCATCTAGCATTTAAGATAAAAAAAGAATATTTTAACACGTTATTTGTAAACTGAAACTGTACAAATTTTTAATGTCTTACATTGTTGCACATTATGTACATTGTTATATAATATAAATTTTTATCTATTTGTATATTTACTTATACATTTGATAACAATACTTACAAGCCTGCTCAAGTACATGTTCATCTAAACTCTCACCGAACCATACAATATGAGGTCTCAATAGACCTTTACAATTTTCCTTTTGGCATCGAGGTAAGTCATCTTTTGGAATATCAGAAATCATAATGTTGGAATCCGGAGATCTAAATATATTAACCTAAATAATGCATTATTTAGGTAAATGCTTAAGAAACTATACTTTACCCTTTTCCTTCCAATGCAGGGCATATAGGGATATTGGTATTTATAGCAACATCGTGGCAGACCGTGCAACGTGTTTTGTAAAGTGAACCATGAAGTTCCACTATGTCTTTAGCACCAGCCCTTTGATGGAGTTCATCAATGTTCTGTGTTACAATAGTAACATTTCTACCTTCTTTTGCACCACGATTTTGAAAATTTGCTATTGCTTCATGAGCCTACAAACATGGCAGTTCATATTACATGTAGATCTTGAAATTCCTATTTTTATGCTTCAAAACAATGCTTTTCTTATTATAATTGAGTTACTTAATTACTTTATTAGGTTTTGCCTCATTAGCTACTCTTCTGCGATATTCGTAGAACTCCCAAACTAATGATGGGTTTGTTGCAAATGCTTCTGGAGTTGCGAGATTTTGCGCTTGGTACTTCCGCCAAAAACCACCAGCACCTCTAAATGTTGGAATGCCGGATTCTGCCGAAACTCCACTACCAGTTAATATTAACACGTTTTTCGCGTTTTGTAACACTTCTTGAAACGATTTCATGATTGCATTCATACTTCACATCTACAAAACACACGACTCGTACGATCAGCTGATTTCAACGCAGTAAACGCGATCGTGACGTCAGTTGATTCCTAAATTTCAAAAGTGAATAACTCTGCATGTTTCTCGGTTACATCACACTTCAACACATGTTTGTTTTATGAAAATTATTACAACAAATCATTCTACATAGCGAAATCGGTTTTCCAATTTTCCAAATCTCAAAACAAGCACCTGTTTGTGTTTAATCACCAGTGTTTTATAATTTTTGGTTATCTGTGCGAGTAATGCGCTCTGTGATCTGTAAAGATTAATTAAATGAAGATACACCTTGCCTCTTAAAAATGATCAGTAGAAACTTTTTTAAGTGGCTATCAAATGTAAGTTTATTGTTAGGGGAATGATTTTGTTTACTGACCAATCTGTCAACTTTTCAGACTCCAACACCCAAACGCGTGAATAATTCATTTGGGAATTATGAAATCGTCGAACCATGGACAGTTACCAAAATTAGAACAGTGCCGGATTATATACCTAAACCATCGTATAGTAAATCAGCCACACCAAGAGAAAGTCCAAAGAATCCAGAAATCAAGGACAAAAATCAAATTGATTGTATGAGAGACAGTTGTT